CCCCTTTGAGTTTCGCATAGCTGAATACCTCTGTTTTCATTTTTATGTCAAATAAGTTGAGAATTACAGGTGGTAGCAAAAAATAATTCCTTACTCTGTATGGGGCAAATAGAGAAATTAAGAATTAAGTATGTGTTTTTGACTTTTTTTTCTCCCTTTCCTTCTGTTTCCTTTCCCTTAAACCCTTGTAGCACTAACCAAAGATTTAGCTGCTTCTGTAATATTTTACTTTATTTAAAGTATAATAAAATAATATATCCAACCTTCCAATACAAAGCTTGAAAAAATTAAAGGAGCCCACCAGTATATGAAGTGGTTTGGAGATAGCATCTCCAGTGAATTGAAAACTTTATAAATAAATAGGGATTATTCATATGACAATTTCATAAAGCTCTGAAATATAGCTACTAAGCTTTTTCTTTCTTGTCTCAGGAAGTTGTCACTATTTTTTCCCTAAGATTTGGAGTCACTTCTTGAATTCAGTTTCCCAGTCTTTCCTACTGATTGCACTATGGGTCACATCACAGAGTGATCTCTGAGTATGCAAACTGCAGTCCTTTCAGAGGAAATTAAACTGAAAGATGTGCTCCAGGCACATACCCAAAGCACTCCAACTCCTAGTGGGCATTCAGTCTATCAACCAGAGTCAAATTAGACCAAGTAATCCCTTCAGTGAATGCTGAATAGACTTTAGCTCCTCAGCATGAAATTTCTGCTCTATAGACCTGATCGCTACATGCCGTATTAATTGCTAATGTAGACATAGGTTTTGAACTCATGCTTGATCAGTCATCACACCGTGACTGCCAAATATCTTACATATATATATAGTGTCAACACAAAAGATGCATTTAAGAACTACGTTCAGTCCCAAAACTTAATTCTGATCTCTGTACTAGAAAAAGGGAAGAATAAAAAATACAGCTACAAATATGAAATTATATATGCCCTGTTTGTTTTAGCAGTCCATTATAATACTGATTTTGTGCCACAAATATATTGACACTTTTGACAGATATTCATGTCCAAAATATTTCCTTTGACTTTCTTTGTGTATGTTTTTAATCCAATTATATATCTCAGTTTAGGATAAAAGTCTTAGCTCCGTTTTCCTACATAAAGTTCAACACATACACAAAGAGTTAAAAAAAGATCCAAAAAGGATACGTGCATCTAAAACACGATTTAGAAGGACTCCAAATTCCAAATAACAATTCTGAAGTGTTCCATTCAATAGCACCTGAACCTGCAGGTCCTTATACTTGCTGACTGAATTTTCCTTAGGTTCTTACAGTTCTATTTCAATACATGCCCAAGTTGCTAGCCATACAGTTCCTACCTAAGCCCAATTAGGATCTGGAAAACAGACCTAACATTGAATAAGTACTCTGAAAGACCTGCTAAAGTAAGAGCGCTCACAATATGCTTAGTGAGCACTGAGAGAACCAAGCCTTTTACACAGGGTACAACTAATTTCTTCTTAAAAGATGGACACAGCAATGATTTAGAGGACATAATAAGGACAAAGACATAACAAGTAGTAGAAATGACCTACTTTTATACAAAATTTTTAGTGGTTTTATCAATTTTTAAATAAAAAAGAGACTTAGCTCTCAAAGCTGAGGGAAGAGATTCAAACCTACATCTCCTGTAAATAACAAGATATAAACTATTTATATGGGAATATCCTCTACTCTTCTTATCAAAGATACACACCTGTGTAGAAAAAAAATATTTATAGAGCTAAAAAATAAAATACGTAAATAAGCATGACTAACTTAATAACTGGAGCACTCAAAAAGGAAGAGAGAAATCTGGATTCTATTTCCTCATCCCATCATTGGGATCATTTATACATTTTAAATTAAGATGCTATTGATCAAAAGGGCAAATAAAAATCATGGGAAAAGGTATCAGAACAGAGGACTTTTTATTTTCTCCCTCTACAATTATACTTTAAACAAAAAGAACAAGATTTGATCTGTATTTTCAAACAACACAGGTTCAGACCTATCCTTAGAAGGTCCCATAACCCTGAACAACTCAGTCTCTCAGTCTCTGGATCTTAAATGACAAGAGAAATCTGCTTAAAACCTGTTTGAGACAGGTAGGTGTTAGAATGTTATAAAATTTTAGTAACATACCTTTGTTTAATGTTTCCTACTGGCTAGATCTGGCCTGTTCTGTCCCAAAGTAATCTGTATTACATAATACTATCGTGTAACTTTTTTCAAGAGCTGCCAAAGAAATATACAAACCTTTGCTTGAAAAAGAAATATTTTCCTCTGTTCCTCTTCAGGTTCCAGACTTCATCCATAAATACGCAATCACGCGTTTCATTTCCTGGACTGTTAGGGCTGCTGTTAATCATGACATGTCGTCTTCCTCACTAGATACACAGTATATCACAATATTTGGTTGAATCCCCATTCATTTATTAAATTGGTGATTATAGTTTAAATTCGAGACTGGAGAATTCATTGACAGAAAGATGGTCCAAAAGTTTTGATAACACTTTTACAATATGAAGCTAAGGCTAAATATATTTGATAATTCTTAAAATAAGAAAAATAACAAAACAATATATTAAAAAGCACCAAATGAAACAACATGAACAGCTATTGCACATGCTTTCCTGACCTAAAAAGCATTAACTAATCTCAGGACAGAAAAACTGAACATTAGGCCCTTCATAAAAGTTCTTAAAATAAAATATTTAAAAAGGGTGATGCCTCAAGCTCTTCTGCTTACATTTTCATTTCTGGACAGCATACACCAAAGTGATAGTAAAATCACTTGGGAGATCATAGGAAAAATAAATCACAAACCTGTAGAGGGCATGAACACCAAAATTTCTCTCCTTTTTTGGAATGACATGAGTTGTAGAATTTTCCTCTTTTTGTAATGCAGTGTGTACTATATACTGTGTTGATGGTTATCAAAACCCTTGAGCCTCACTTTAGTCTGATAACATGATTATTAAGTATCACTTTATAGACTTTGCTGCAACAAGCTCCTCTGCTTTCAAAACTCCTAAAACAACCTTCTTCAAAGAATCACTCTTATTACATCTTTAGTGCAAAAAGACAAGAGGATCATCTGAGACATTTGACAATCTATGCTTTGATTTTGTTATCCCACATTAGTGGCCTAAAAGATGCACAGACCGATTCGTGTTCTGCTGTAATGCTTAAATATGCACTGTACTGTGACATATACCAGAAAGAAACTCCATCCCCCCACAACCCAAATCCTCCATAACTCAAGCATACAAAACCAACACCACATTATTACAGGTCATCTTCACCTAATCCATAGTGTATTAGTAAAGTTCAGACCAGGTACTGCCTGTAATCTCATTTCGTCTTATACGATGCCACATGACTCTTTTGTTGTTATTACCGAGTAACATGAAGGTGCTTATTCATATATAGCCTACAAATTAGAAAATTATTCAGCCCTCAGTAAACAAACAGCCTTGGAGCTGAACATATAGATTGTTTATATCAATTCAAACAGAAGTTAACATCCCTCACACAACTGTACGTTTGAACATTGCATGAAAACTAACGTCTTTTAAAGATGGTGCTCAAAAAGCTATTCGATGTCATGCCTGCAATAGTGAGGGACTTCTTTCAATGACTGAGTTGCTTCCAGACAAGTCATTCACATCACCAAAAGAAAGTTGAACACCTGCAAGGCAATGTTTTCCAAAATACTTTTGAAACAGCGATCACTTGCAACGGCAGAGTAAGATCAAATTTTTCACAATCTGCAAATTACTCTTCCAAATTTTACTCTTTTACTCCTGAGCCAAATTTAGCTTATAGGAAATCTCACAAGTGTCTATTACAATATGCGCTACAGTTGTAAATCTGAATTTTTCAAGAGAGAGCTCTTAAATGCTGATTTCCTGACTATATCAGGAAAATGTGAAAGCAAATAATTTTAGGGTTCTCAAGAAACAGTGCAGGCTACAAATTATTCTCTGCATTTGGGATTACTTATTTGTATTTTGCAATATATATTCAAGATGCTGGGAATACTCCTTTTCTTGGATTTTATATAAAGCATATAAGGACATTGACTGAAATATACACAACAAAAAGACTGCTATCTAAGAATAAGGAACTTTCTGTCAATCTTACCTGAAGGCTTCAACTACGATTCTTTCAGATAATTTTGGAGAAATGGAATTGAAGGCTTTCTTGAAGTCTTCCAAAGTCAAAAATCCTCTGTCTTTTAAATCAAGATTAGAAAAGGGAAAAATAATATAAATTGTTTCTTTAAGAACTGACTACTAAATACAGTCATTTTTATGTGCTGTCTAATCAATCCACATTTTTTGATACGTTTACACACTCTTTTAAGTTACTGTATTTGTGAAGTATTTAGGAAACAGCTATGTTAAAAGGGGGAGTGGACGAAGAACCTAAGAAGGATTTTATACTAGCAATTCCTTTGTGCCGTTGTGAACTCTGTTCAAAAGTACTGTGCCTACAACATCCACAACTCTCATACTTAAAAGTTTTAGTTTTAAAAATGGTAATTTTGAATAGAACATTTCACACGTGCGAAAATTTCAAAATATAGACTCTAAAATATGTAAAATTGTTTCAAATCTGTCATTTTTATTCAGACCTTTGTTAGCTAATCTGAGCGCTGTTTTTCAAAAAACTTCCTTTCATAACATATTTCTCCTTCTGATTAATCCTGTTGCAAACTTAAGCTCCTGAATACATTATATCAGAATGATATCAAGTGATCGCTTGATATCAAGAATGATATCAAGTGATACATTTCCAGATCCAACTGAAAAATAAAGCACCTTAAACAGGGCTATCACATCTTACGTGCAGCAAACAGCAAGACAAACAAAAGCAGTGCTTGAAATGGTTGAGTTCCTTGAAATCACTCACTTAAAAGATAACACTTTAAAAGTTACTTTCAGTTCAGTTTACTTCACATCAGGGAAGAACACAAAAAAGATTATCTGAATACTATCTGTCCATTGGCTCAGAGGCTCTTGATGATATTCTCCTTTTGCGATTTTGGTGGAGAGAGCCTCTTCGCTGTCTAGCATAAATGAAAGAAGTATCACCACATCTTTCTGAACAAGAGCTAGGGAAAATCTTTGTTGCTTTGGTTTCCCTTCCTTGGCCTATCATGATGGGTAAAAAGACCTATAGTCATCACCAGGGACAGAAATCTGCAGAGTACGTGGTATAAACTAAGGAGTGGAGATAGCCATATATGAGTAACAGAAATTATGAGAGGTAGTAACAGGTATAGATAGGGCAAATGGCTAAAGATTTGTTTTAATAGCTGGAGGAGCTCAGAGCACAACAGAAAACCCAGAACGACTGTCTAGAACCCTGCAGCTTATTGATTCTGACTTTATTAACAGAAATATCAATAAGGTCTTTGTTACTCTCCTACTTTGTTACTTCACTTTGCAGCATCTGGGACGCTCTTTAATGTCTTTTTATTTCCTTTAAGTGTTCTATTTTGCTTATTTGTTTTAGATTTAAATTAATACTCAAAATATTGAGCTGAGGAGAAAAGCTTACTTTGCACGTCAAAAGCTGTGAATATATGCCTTGTTTCACCATCAAATAGCTGCACAGCCTTCTTTGTGCTCACGAGATTTAAAAACTTTTCAAGTAATATTCCTAGAAAATGAAAAATGCAAATAAATCTCCCTGTAAAGACCTTCATTTTATTTTTCTCCTTAAAAATATGCACGACTGTGGTCAAATAACTACAAATAATTTTAATTTTATAAATAAACACAAAAATGGTCCTCAAAGTTAGATCACACAAACATTTCAATATCTTTTAAAGTTGAATATAATGCTTCTGTTTACTTCTACTTTTGCTTCTTGCTAGCTGCCATCTCATCTTCCTTTAGACTGGAGAGAAACATGCACTTAGTCCTAAGTCAACAGCACTTGCATGCCATGGATGAAGATACACAGCATACTGCATAAACAACACCGCTGGTATCATTCCTAGAAGTGAGTGAAGGCTCTGAGATGCTCTATATTCTCACATACAGTTTCCTAATAAAACTGCATGGTAAAACTGGATTAGTCATTCCTCTTGTGTACTGTATGAAACTCTTCATATGAACATTTTTCTTATCCTTTTAATGAACTGAAAAGAACTTGAAATATAAACCTAGTTTGTAAGTTCTGTCTTAATTGAACATTTGGTTCTTCTAAAATCAAAGAAAATCTAAGAAAAGAAAAACCTGCCCCCAAAACTTCAGGCCTCCCCATGAAATGTGAAAAATCTTGATATAAAAATTTCTGAAGATAGAAATTTTTTGACAAAAATACATGTAACCAGCTTAAAATTTAAACACTAATATTTTTCCTTATGTCTTTCTAATATGCGCTTTATGCTCATTTTAAACAACTTAATTTTCTTTAGACGGCAATGTGACTGCATCCTGCAGGAATTTTTCTTTATCAAATAACATAAGCTCTGCATTTCTCTTTCTTTTGATTTATTCATATTCCGTTCTTTTTGTAGTGGTTCAAAAGCACAGCTCCTTCAGCTCCCCCTGCTGTCTCAATTGAAAGCTTAAACTGCAAGCTGATGGATTTCTAGCATTTCTTTCCTTACTTCTTCCTGAAAAAAATCACATATTAAGAACTATTACACTCTCAGTTTCCAGGATTACAAAGACATGCTGATTTCAACTGCTAGGCTCTGTACATGCACAATTTCTTTAATAACAGAGGTTGCTTAAACATACTGAACTTGCCTGCATGAACAGCTTTCCATTCAATTGCATAACTATGGAAGAGAAGTCATGAAAAGCAATACAAGCTTTTCATCCATTTATTTTTCTCTTTCAGAGTAACATATGAGCCCAGAAAATTATAGTACACAATTTTCCTTTTCTAGAGTGACTCCTGTAATACAGTGTCGCCTATTCATTGATCTTTGAGAGTTCACAATTTATGTGCTATTAGTACAGGCCGTAAAGCGATCTCAACACACAAAAAGGTCAACTTAAAGAGAACAATTAAACCAATTACACATTAACAAGACCGTAATATAACTTCGTATATTAGTTCACTATTTTAAGGTCAGGTATTCATATGTGGTTGTGGTTGCTCTCTTGAAAAAAAATTTCAGTAAAGTGTTCAATTTGTATTTTTGCCTAAATGAAAGATTTACAAGTAAGGGTGTGGTTTAATGAAATTTTTTTGGCATCAGTGCTAGAATAAACAGACCCAGCCTTCACAGCACCCGTCAGCTGTATCAATACAAATATTTGTGGGGTCATGTGGCAAAGAGGATCAGGGAACTTATTGTTAAAAATAACGAGTTTTTTGCCACATTATTTTTTACATGAATCAGTTCTTCTATATGATTTGCCACATGGCCCCATAAACAGATGGTACAATTGAGAGGGCAGCACAAGGACAGGAAAAAAACAAGCAGAACTGTGTAAATGGAAGGGTTGTTGCAGAAAGAAATGTTTATTGAACGGTGGTGTAAGACTCCAGTATTCACCCAGCTAAAGAGTGGAACAGCATCAAAAAAATGATAAACCATTTTTAATTACTTACCAACTTGAACACTGACAATTACTAATTACTTTTCTATATCATCGCCACTAATTATATGTTGCTATTAAGAAGCTTGACTTTGAAAAGCAAGAATAAGTTCAAAAGTGAATTCCAAACTAAACTTAACACAAAACCATTTTAAGTATTCCAAAACTAAATGAAATCATATGATCCTCATTAATAGCCTTGGGCAGCTCATTTATCAGTAATCTAAATCAGGTTCTTCAAAACTTTTTAGAGTCTAAGCTATAGATTTATTAAATTCATGAATGAAAAAGGAGTAGAAATCATTGACAGATCGGTGTTTGTATATTACCTGAATTTTCTAGTTGCACAGAAGACATTACTGAATCCACTTCCACCTGGAACAGAGGAAACACACCATGGTGGTTTTTTTTTTTTTTTTTTATGGAAGTGACAAATCTGAACTGCTACATGATTCCCATTTTATATTGACAGTTTGTGACTTAATGAAATGTTGATATCATAACATTACATGTTATACTGCAAAATCATCCATGGTATTTAAGAAAAAAAAGATTTTATTTTAATTTTACAAAAGCAACTCTTCCTTGCCAAGTAAATTAAATATATCAGTGGTCCTAACAAAACCCTAATCAGGAGCACAATCTTAAACTCAGTATGCTTAAACAAACGTGCTTAACTTTACACAGATTGGAATCCAAATGCACAGAAAAGAACCATAATATGCAAAACTATTTTTCTGAGAATCAGCACCCAAATTTGTGATTTCCCTCAAAGAAAGATGTTTCTCTTTCAGTAGTCAGACTGGCAACAAAGTATTTTCTGAAAACTAGTTTGATCAAAGTTCATAAGGTAAAACTGTGTAAAATAATAATTTTTTTAAAAGAGCTACAGATCAAAAAATGAGAAATGAAACAATAAAATGTTTGCATCATCCAGTTTCTCCTAGAACCACCTTGAAAACAGTCCATTCCTGTTTGATGTTATGTACTATGAATCTCCTTTCATTAGGATCTTATCTCACATTTTTTCTGATAGGAACACGGGAGTGACACTTACATGTTGATTAGTGTGTTACAGAGATTCACTAACATTTTCGTACAAAGGAAAAAAAGCTAAATGAGGTGAGGAAAACACCACTGACGTTTTCAGAACTGAATTAGTGGCTAACCAAGAGATTACTGGAAAAGGTCTTTAACCAATTTATTAAACAGAATGGGAGTGTATGTCCAAGAAAGCACAGAGGTCCACCTATGGCTATAGCTATACCGCTTTTTAGCATGACTGAGTACATGATCCTGAGACCAGACTCTCACATCTACGCTCTTAGAATACAAGACCGCGCATACTTGTAGTGCCGAGACAACCAACATGCAAGGAGATGACATGTTAGCAGCTCTTAGCACAAATCTAAGCATACCCTTTTCTGGAGAACGGATCAGTCAAACACGCTGTGGCCAGATAGCCTTACACCACACATTGCATTTGGCCTGCAACCCTTTTCACATAGACTGTATTGGGCAGATAAATGGTCTAGGGAGTCCTTTTCAAACATCTTTAGTAAGAATGCCAAAAGAGCAGCTGGAATTTATAAGCAGCCCTGAGCTCAGACTGCCCTTCTGTATTCTGGATGCCAAGTCGCTGGCATCTTGTTCAGCAGCAGATGCCGAGCTACCAGTGTCCTAACGTGAACATACGGAGCCAGGTCAGGGAAAACACCGGACATGCTTTGTAGCCTGGCACAGTGTATCTTTCTAAGCACATTGTAGACAATGCTTTTATTTAGATCTAAAGGTTGCACTGAGTATTCAGAGTGAGACTTTGGCTGGGACAATGACAGGAAAACATGTGAATGAGATGAGTTTCGAGGTATTTGTAATACAGTTTACAGCCAACAGATTTTACTACCTTAAACTACTATTCCTGCAGTACCCTTTTTGTTTGAAACACCTAGGATCCAAATGTGCATTTAGCGAGCTGAATGGTTGTTGCTATATCAGAGAGCATTTTAGATCAGTTTAAATAATTTGGGTGCAAAGGGGACCATTGAATCAAACTTTTAGAAGAAAAAATAAAAAGATCTCCCACTGACACGATCCCCACAATGCTGCTAGTTTCCAGAAATTATGACTTGTATATGCTGATAAATGTATTAGATTTACTTTCAATATCAGTCCAAAATTCAGGTTTATCTTTCCATTTTCATGCTTTCCTAGTTACCTGTCTCAGAAGGTTTAATTTTAAACAGTAGCAAGTTCCGAACCACTAAGAATAGCCATATGAAAATAGTATTTTATAAAAAACGAAAATAAAATGTTGTTATACTTCATCAAATGATTTGGAAAAAGCAAGTGCAGTAGGAATGTGATTCAAATTTGTAATTTGCATTTCCTCCAGTAAAGAGGTTTTTGGTGACATCTTGTGGGAAAAGTTAGTATTACTTTTTATTTAAAGAACAAGCAGAAACCTGAGCTATAAAAATGACACATTAGCTATTTACCAATTTACTAAAAGTGCAGGTGATGCTAAACAACTGCCATTTCTACTAAAAAATTTATTTTAGCGTGTACAATGGTTTAGGAAACAATTTTGCCGCAACTGAAGTAGTAACATATACACACCATTTCCTATTTCTTGGAAAAGCTCTTGAAAGTACTGTGTCAGGACTGGTTTTAGTGAATTTTGAGGAAATACAAGTGCTGTTACTGTAGTCTTTTTGATTTTAGTTGTTTTGACAACAAAGCAAAATTGACATTAAAATACTCAAGACCTGGATACTACAAATCACAGTTTAAGTCCTGTGCTTGGCTCCTATCTGGTGAGAAAGCTATGTTTCTCAGAACTGGATTAAAACCACCAAACTGCTGAAGAGAACACTTGCAAGGCCTAGCCAACAATGAAATACAAAGGATGTGGATGTGCCATACCCCACAATTAATACACATTAGTAAAAGCTACAGAGAAAAGCGTCTGTCAATTCAGTGCTCTCTCAGTATTTCACAATGAGTGAAAAATTGGAGAAAGTAAACAGTTCCTGGAACTGGGACCACTTAAGGAGCTAGCAAAAACGACAGGACCACAGAATCGCTCCTGGAACAACTATCATTAATTAGCTTTGTGTAGCTGCACAGACAGAATGGTCTACAGCCAGATGGTCAGAGCCCTGCCTTGAGAGACAGCAAGAGTGACTTGCCACTTTTTCAGGAAGAAATATCTACACTTGAATCCTCTTGTCTCCTGGGAGTCCTTCACCTTTATTCTCTTCCCAAGCAAGAAACATCAATGACTTACACACAGAACCAGTCCTTGTTTGAATGCCGTAACCATGGTTTGAGTACTCCTACTGGAAGAAACATTTTGAAAATTTAAACAGAAGAACAAGCTAATTCTCATATACTGACTACACACAGGTATAAGCCAGATAGACTAATATAGTTGAAAGACTGCCCAGGAACCAAGCATTAATAAAGGCATATTAATATCAAAAGCAAGGCTTGCCTGTATTTAGGGTGCAGTTTAGGATGAGGTCTGCCATTCTGTGCAGCATTTAGGGTAAGGGGAAGCTGAGCATTTTTTCATGTTCAGAATTCAGCAGTTAAGACTCAATTTAGAAGCCTAAGTTATTTTTAGATCTGGCCCCCCATTTGGAAAATGTTTACCCACAGCTGAAATACATCAGAGATGACTATTTTTACACTTTAGTAAAAGTGTTTTTTCACTTTAACTGATGTGTTCTTTATGCTCTTTTTGAGATCACTTGCACAGCTACAGTAGGGACATAGTTTATAGAGGTGCATTAAGCCACACGATTTATCCTTTATCTTCCTGTAAGTACGCAACACATGGTTTCTTCCAATAAACCTTTCTTTTCTTAATATCTTCATACAGCTATTGACTTATATTGTCATGACTTAAAAAGCCCAACTTTCACTTAAAAGCAAAAATATCTCTTGTTAAGAATATGTGTTTGTTATTATGACATGCAGTAGTTTCTTGCCAAATAGTACCACACAGTAAGTAAATGCAGTGCATCACTAGTAAGAAACAATAATTTGGATCTCATCTCCAGCTTTACAATAAGCTCAGTATAGCAATTATTTCATGCATCTTGTACACGTATATAGCGCAGTACATCCATCTGCTAATCACAGTCTAGAGCAATAACTCCTCAGTGGGAAAGGTAGTGATTTGATTATTTTCTTTCGAAATAAATGCTCTCAGATAACAAAATTTCTTTAAGAATCTGGAAGTATTTTGGTTTCACAAAGCTAGTGTAGTCGGCTCCAATCAGTACAGACCAGTCTGTAAAGAGTGTCCTCACTGAGTCATTGACATATCCTGAATCTTCAGAATATAAATGATAGAAATACATACTTTTGAGGGTTTATAACCAAACAGCATTGCTACGGCAATTTTAAAGTCCTCTCTGCTTAAATAGCCTTTGTTATCTTCATCACATGCTTCAAAAACCTACAGAAAAAAATATTTACATTAAAAAACAATAAATCTGATCTGAAATACAAATTTTTACTTAGCATAACAGTTAAGGGAAAAATAAAAGATATTTACAAAACAAGCTACAGAAGATTAGTCCTATTTCAGTCAGAAACCTTGTCTTACACCAGCTGAAACTACTATGATTAGTCTATTTAATTTTAAATTTTTGGTAAGTTACAATAAAATTTATTCTATTTCTGTGTTTTATGCACTTAACAAAGAATTGCATACATATTCTGTAGCAGCATATCTGGTACAGAATTGTAGACACCAAATGACACTAAATTTTGTTTCTACCAGATCTTGATTTTTTTCTTGAGACATGTCAAGCATATTTAGTTCTCACTAAAGCCACTCTACAGGCAGGAACTATGAGATGGAGAGACTGGAAAGCTGGCATAGTCAAAAGCTGGCAAATTTTCTCAACTATTTTTAGAAGAAAATACACTTTCCACACTATATGCCTAGATAAGAGATTAAGCATATAATATAGAAATACAGAAATACCTAATTCTCATAAGAGGCTTTCCCCTCAAAAGAGCTTTAGCAAGCACTGATAAGTCGTTACATGTTTTCACATTTATGTTGTAGCATTGAAGAGCATATCCGTAAGTTGTTTCAGGAAGAAGCATTACATGCAATATTATGTTGGAATTCTGCAGAAGAGTACTAAGGAAATTACATGAAGAAGTGGAAGTTTCATTAAGGCGTTGCTAGGTGCAGTTTGCTGATTTTATTACACTCTGATACAAGACACTTGCATTATTTGTTAACTGCAGTCACAAGCTGGTAATAAATTAGAAAAATGAGACTCAAATGCTCTGACAGTTCACTTTGTTAGCTAGAGCCAGCTGTGATGTAGTCCGCGCTCTCACTGTGATTAATTGTACACCTGTTTTCCTCCCACTCCCTTCTTTAGCTTGTCATGCAGTTATCTCAACAGCCGGGCGCTTCAGGCACAGTAATTAACACTGAGCTGAATGAACGATTACGCAAATACTACACCTGCCCTAAACTAACACTAACGCCCAATGAAGAGTTACTAGATTAATTCCCATCCCCAGGACGCGATAGTTTCGCCGCGGCAGCAGCCGTAACAGGGCGCCAGAGCCGCCTTAACACCTCTCGATACCCGCTGCCCCTCTGGAGGGACGAAAAAGCTCTTCGGGAGTCACCGGGCACCGACGGGACGGAGGACGGAACTCCCCTCAGGGCCCGGCGGCGGCGGCGGGCACCCC